ATTAGCTCTTGTACGATTAGATATGCAACGGTAACCGTAATTTACCGATTTACCGTATTTTATCAGTTGTTGCGTGACTATGTAAGACTCTGAATCACTTTAAAAACAAAAAAAGTTTGTTTATTTCGCTTTCTTTTCATACACTCAATGCTTATGAATAATTTTCAACATGAAAATAAAAAAATAATAAAATGCGAGAACTGAATTTTCTAGTCATTTCGACATTTAATTTGTGCACGCTTTTTTAATGTATAGAAGTGTATGCGAGAAAGAAACGAAAACAAGTTATTTTTTTATGTTCTTTCAACTCTCCGTCAAACAATGGCCTTTTTTTCGTCTTAATTTGTTTCATCTTTTATTTACAAGCTACAAAATCTAGTTTGCACACATAGAACTTACCGAAAGTCTACGTCAGTTTAAGAGCTGGAGAGTTCAGGGATCTGTTAAAACGACGATAACACTTGTTGCTAGCGCTTGACAGAATCCAATTTTTGAAAGTCGATCGAGCTTTTTGTTATGAAAAATAAATCTGTAAAAGGTTTTAAAAGCAGTTTTTAATATTTTAGCTTTTAAGATCTGTCAGCAAAGTAAGAAAATCGAATCTAGATGTTACTTTAGCAACATAGCTTTAATAATAAATATTCATCAAAATTCTCAATAGCTGATGCGGTATTACTTCTGCTTCGAAAAGCAAAAGGGTGCATACTAATTGCTAAAACACTAGAGAAAACAACTAACGTTTGATTTTTCGCAGAACCATTTCTCAATCTCTGCTTTTAAAAGCTTTTAATTTTGTAAATTTTTTCCATGTTGTTTGTTAGGTTGCCGGGTGAACTAAGATCTTTCTCATCTAACGTTTTATTTGAGCAAAACTTTATAAAAAGATAGCACATCCTCTACTACAGAAAAACGCACATATATACTAAGCCGTTACACAATCTTAAACAACGAAGTCTGGTGTTCTGATTATGCAACACTGTGAAGTCAAGTCATATTCTAGATTTTTGCACCATCCTAGAACTGTTCTATCGCGTTGGCTAAGATTGATGGAATAACCTTTAATATTCTTGCACAATAACCATAACTATGATCTTCTCTCTTATGGCACGATTGTGGTGCGTGGTATAACATTGTTCCTTACGAAATGTCAGATACTTGATAAATAATGACATAATTTCCAGTATATTGATATTTGATAAAATATCAACATTTCAACTCGGTAGTTTTTCTTAAGGTGCCAATAGAAAATTGTGCAAACTAAACAATATGAAAATTAAGTAACATAATTAAATCGTTTCAGGCGAGGAATTATTTAAAACTGGCTAAAAGTACAGATTTATGTTCGTAGAATATGGTTCATTGTTATCGGAGCTCTCAAATCAATATTTATCTGAGGGAACTTTTTAAAATCTTTTTCAAATTTTCGCTGGAAAGAATCATTTAAAATTATAAATTAATAACAATAAGATTTCTGAAGATTCACAAATTATATTTCATTAGACGCAGTTTTTCTTGCTGATTATGAATAAAAGGTTTGTTTTTGATGCTAGTAACTGTTGCATAACAAAGTGTTATAATATTTTACAAAATCATATGACCTACTATTATTTTAAATTATTAACTGTGACTTGCCTATATTGGATCGAAATTTTTTTGCTCATCAGGCTTAAAATCATCAAGCCTACAAAATGCGCAATGTTAAAAGGTTCTTCTAAAAGGGAGAGCCTAACATTTGAAGAGAATTTGTTGCAATATATTGAATATGCGCTTTCTACATTAAATTATATCAAATAATAATGCCAAGAAGCTTAAAATCCTTCCCGCAATAGAAGACCATCCCTTATTAAAAGATCACAGTCAACCATACGACTGGAAGCCAATTAGAAGACTATGGTCTTCTACAGTTGAACAACTAGGAGGGGATAAAATCTGACCGCAATAGAACATCACCCTTACAATTTTGAGTTGCTGGACAAAATAAAAGATCACATGGTCTTCTGTTAAGGGGAGGGGTTTAAGAAACGAGAATCTTTCTATATCTATTTACTGAAAGAATAATTGATGGGGCGTTTTAGTAGCGTTTAAAAACAAATCCATTGACATTTGTTTGCATTTAATTTGGCCTCAATTATATCACACACCAGAGAAGAAGGTCATTGATACATTTTTGTGCATCGAATATATTTGTAACATAGAAGACATCATCAACGAAAATCTAAGAAAAAAAGAGGAGATTTAAGACATGGCACAAGATCATTCATAAAAATTAGAAATAAAACCAGGCCGCAAAATAAATATAACGCACATGTTAAAGCGTATTAAACCCACTAGATCTATAAATTTGTTTTAAACTCTTTCGAACGCATGAATATATACGCATTTGAACGAATTCTACACTCAAATATTTGTAAACAGAGTTACTTTGAAACTAAACTCCAGTTTTTTCACGCTTTTTTTAGAAAGTTCGTTTTTTCGCGGTTCTTGAGTCAATCTCGCGTTTGTAGCGTTGCGCTGCGTCAAAAACGCGTTTTTCACGCAATTATTTGTTATAGAAATGCCTAATTTCGGCAGTCTACGAAACTCGTCTTATAAATTTTGAAAAAGTAAAACACGTTTTTCAAGTTTCATTTCTAGCCAAAACGCGTTAAATTCGTTTCAATTGAGTCCTAAACGCTAAAAATTCGGTACCGTTCGCGAATCTTAAGGGCTATTGCGACGCGTTTGCAAAAGGTTATAATGGTCATAAACGCGTTTCTCGCGAATTATTGATGGCAAAAACGCGGTTTTGCTTAAGACGTATAATTAAAGCTCAAGAAATCCGCCGTATTCGTATGAAACTGTTAATTCTCGCGTTCTATGAATGCTAAAACCGCGTTAAAACGAATTTTCAAAACATACAGATGACTGACTGGGTGGGCAGAATTAAAATTTAGAGATAGAAAAAAGATCTACTTATCAAAGCGATATGTTTCTTTCATAAACTCAAGTACAAAAAGATATATGATGGAAAATCCATAGCAGTATACAAAAGTATTTTCAAGTTAATCTTTGGTTTATATAGCATCTCGATAGAAATATGTTTGAAAATTGTCACCTTTATACAAGGAGTATATACATACTCTTTTATATAAAAGTGACAATGGAGTAGAAAATGCTCTTCAAGAACAGAGATTATCGGAAACGAATTATCTTCTGAATAAGATGATAGTTAAAATCTGAAAAATCGCATCATAATTGAAAATAAATCTGATGGATTTACGATCTACTCTGTATATTCGAAAAACAGTTGACTTGTTTGGGAGGAGTTCAACAATTACGTTTAAATATAGATAATGTTGCATATACTGGCAACTGTATCGAGAAAAAGAAAGTGAATTCAAAGTTTCCAAACTGGCGAAGCGAACTAATTGTTTAATGATTGTGAACGGAGAAAATAATTCTTATTTTTATTAAAGCTAAGTTTATTCCAAAGATATGAAGGATGTGAGTCGTTTAGTATCTTGAAGCCTTTTACTAGTACGTTATTGTGACGTCAATGTAAACAGTCTAATACTTTTTGTTTATCAGTTCGACCTTTACATTCTGACACTGGACAGGTGAATTTATTTTAAGGAGAAAAAAAGTGAACCTAGACGAGACTTGTATGTCGAAGAACAGACAGTTAATCCGTGTATGAATCCAAGTAAACATCACCTATGGGAAAAATCTAGATGCGCCTGCATGTGCAACTAGCAATAATTAAATCGATAGTTGCAAGTAGAAGAAATCTAGCAATTGCCCCATTACTAGATTTCCACTGTCATTACCCAATAGTTGCAATCTAATAATCTAGATAAATTAGACGATACTAGATTATTTTTTGACACTTGGGTGAAATAAATTTGTGTAAGAACATATAAGACATGGTATCCTATTACATTTACTGTATAAATATGTAATATGTCTATTCCAGTTTAGAGTTGAGGTAGGATATGCCCAGATGTTTATGATTCTCAGTCTCTTTCAGCGATATTTTGTTGATAAAAATCGGATCTTGTGAATTATCAATTTTATATTTGTAATAAGGCATTATTCACATTTTTTAACATTTAAATTTACCTGCCAAAAACGAATCACTGATGAATCAACTACAGATCAAAATTTACTACATTTCTGACAATTATGAGTGACTTGTGTTTCGTGTGAATTAAAACAGTGTTGGTGAATAAACGTGCAGTTGACTTTAGGTTGAAATTTCAATAAAAACCAAAAAAAGAGGATGCCTCAAGATTCACTAACTGAGTAGTAACTTATGGATTACTGATTCTACTTGCTCTAAAACGACTAGTTATTTGTTCTAAATGACTAGTCCACCTGGTTCTCATATATTGTTACTTTTGTTCTTCCTTTGAACTTCGTTAAATAAATTTAAAAGAAATCCCTGATTAAATTTACGTGCACGAAAAGTGACTTGAGAAAAAAATGTAACAGAAAAAGGCAACTAGAAAGTGACAAATTGATGAAGTTTCATAAAGAAGAAACTAAGAAACCCATTACCGACTAAAAATCCAGAAATTCCTCTTTAATAAATCAGATGTAAGCTCGAAAAAAACTATTGATTGTTCGTCGACAAATAGGGCACGTACGAAGTGAATGACCGCACGGCACACACGTTGCCACATGCCCACACGGTATACAAGCCAATCGCTTTTCATCTGTTAAACACAGAACGCACACGCTGGAATTTAAACTTGAACCAGAACTGAAGGCTTGAGATTGATTCTTCTGCGATTCTGTTGAAGTTATAGTTGTATTTGATAATGTTCTTTGTTCTAAACAGAAATAAGGTATAGAATAGGTGACATATGTAGTAAAGGTCGACCTTACGTTGTACATTTTTAGTCATTATTTCTTGGAGTTTTCTGGATGGGATGATAATCCTTTCTTTATTACCATCAATCACATCAATCTGTTTTTGAAGAATCAAACAGGCCATATGAAGATTACTATCACTGGGAAAATCATCTACTGTAAAACAAAGAAAAATTTAGACAAGATTATAAAAATATCGATGTTCAATGTACGTTTTTGCCTCAGCTGATCTTCATAGCATCGCTTTATGATTGATAATCTATACTTGTGTAAGAGACATTGAGATACTGGCAGATCTAATCGAGCTGAAACATACTGTGATAATCTATTCTCATCCGATATCGGTACTTGACCATTGGACGGGCTCTCTAGTTGTTTTTGAGCTAAATTAAATAAAGAATAGCATACATATTGACTTCTCTAATCTAGGAAAGAAAAACTAACCTCGTTTTGATAGTTGAATTTTCTGAAACAATTCATCGTCGCACAATTGTTTAATGTATGCACAGTGAGGAAACCATCGAGCATGTTCAATTATTGGATTGTCCGTGGCTGTCCAGTTTTGTAGTGATCCGTTGCAGTAAAAACATGATACAATTGTTCGTGTGCCCACGTAGAAAAAGCCGGCTTTGACCATGTGGTCTACTGGTGGTACTGACTCGTCTTTGGGCCATTTGGCAAATGATGCATGCCGCTTTGGTACTTCAGCAAACATTTGATTACATGCCTGAGTAGAAACAATCTCAGTACTATTGAAGACATTGGATGTTTCGTTGAGGACTAAAGGAGTGATCGCTGTTGATGAGACAATATAGGACTGAACAAAACAGCAATCAGGTGATAATACTCGATGTACTTCACTTGGATCATCGGTAAGAATCCATTGCTGACAGATCAAATTACAATATATGCAAATTACTCGATCACCAACATTGCAGCCGAAAAAACCGCTCGCGATCATGTGTGTTTTTGATGGCTGTTTCAATGCCCAATGGGAAAATGTGTATTTACGAACATCTGTCATAGATCGAACTTCACTAAATTGTCGATTGTGTTTTTTACGCTTTGTTTTTGCCTCAGTCGATATTTCGTTTGATGCCGATGATGGTCGTTTTCGGTTTGTCGATATCACAGTATTCGTATTCGTCGAAGAATTGACTTGATCGAGCACATATCCATACGAGTGTTGAGCTGTCGGTGGAAATTGTTTTTGTTGTTCAGTCATTGTGTGCATAGCTGAATCTGCGGAAAAGAACAGAAAATGTATCTTTCATTCTTCTTGTCTTTCAGAATTAGCATCGCTAGCATAAAAAATGAATCACCTTTTCTTTTGTCCTATTTTCCGTTGATTGAGCAATGAATTGTTACCTGAAGAAAGAACGAAAGGAGATGCTCTTATCTGTTACGAAATATTTGACACGTAATTTGTATTTATCTTAGCACACACTTTCTCGTTCGCCCTGTATATATACTGTCTTAGCCACATAAAATTTCCTAATTGTATGGTAATGTATCAAAAAAAATGCAGCAATAGAAAGAAAAAATGAATGAAAGAGGCTTATTCATTCTCTTTTTATTCCTTATAAGGAAATGTTTTGCTTGACTAAAAAAAGAAAATTTGAAAAAGTGTACATTTTGATTGAATTACACGATGCAAAGTAATAACGCAGATGGCACAATTCTTCCACAAACCGACTTTTCTGTGAACAGTACCCTGGCTCTTTTCCAGTGGAAATGTCAATGTATCAGAACAACTAGTCGCTCATATCTTCAAAGAGTTGAACAGTCATTAAACTTGAAGATTTTATCGATCATTTCTATCGTCATTTAAAAATAATCGTTTATTTAGGGTTATGATTCATGATTGATTCAAAGAAGCTAAAGTTGATAGTAGCAACCTATCTCAGTAGTTGTATATCTGTCTCTATTATTCAAAAATTAAGTATGTTTATCAGTGTGATTTAATGCCGATGTAAATTCATTGTGTTATACACTAATACGACATGAACTGCAAAAGAAGATCAGTTATCTTAAAACATTTGATGCTACAGCTTAATGCTGAATAGAGTACATTGAGGTAATTCCAATCAACGTTACCAAAACGGTAAGTGCAAAGTAAAGTAAATTTCGCTCAACAGTGAATGTTCAGTTTCCTAATTAAACGTTAGCTCACCTTGCAGATAACTTTGAGCACATTCCAAGCATTATTCTGGCAAGGTGAGGTCATTTTTCCATAACTAACTGGTAAAAAATTACATAAAAAGAAAAAGTCGTTTTCTGAAAAAAAATTTATTGAATTAGTTTTGATCATTGCATGTAAGATACACGGAAAACAATCTGTTGAAACTTCCAGGAGCCGTTTTTCTGTCTACTATAAGTGAGAAAGTTGTTCTACAATATGATGTGGACGGATAGATAATAATTTCTTACACAAAATCCGTTCATCAATATTTTTCAACTTTTTTGCATACAGTGGAAGAACGTTATCATAGGAACTATATCTATTTCGTATTTTTGTTACAAGATCCCAGGCATCAGTAAAAAAGCCGTCATCGCCGGATTAATCTAGATTACTAGATTTTTACTTGATTGCAATTATTTTGTAACTACAGTAGAAATCTAGTAGTCGGACAATGCCAGATTTCTCCTTAATGCAACTACCAGTTTCGATCCATTTAACTATTGCTAGTTGCGCATGCAGACACACCTGATTAACAGCCCCTTTTCCAACTAGTAATCTAGATGACAACTAGTCGTGCATCGCCAGATTACAGACAAAATGTATCTAAATTTTTCCCTAGATGATGTTTGCTTGGGATGATTAGTCTCGCAGAGAAAACTATCATCATCATTATGTGTAGATTAATTAGCTAGTTTCATAATGAAGAAGAAACATGTTCCTAATAAACTATTGTTATACCACTCACTAGAGTCGTGCCATAAGAGAGAAGATCAGTGTTAAGGTTATTGCACAAGCATATAGTCTAAGTAATTGCGCAAG